CTGGCGAGGATGAACCCCTCGTGGGACGACGAGACGCTGTACGAGGAGTCGCGACGCGTGATCGGCGCCCAATTGCAACACATCACGTATCGAGAGTTCGTGCCAATAATTCTGGGCGATCGGGAGACGGATAAGAGGGATCTAAGACCCCTGACGTCTGGCCACAGGGGGTGGAAATTGGACAGGAACGACACGAGCGTCGACCCGAGTATAGCGAACAGTTTTGCCGCGGCCGCGTTCAGATTCGCCCACACCTTGTTGCCCGGGTTGATGAGGATGACCGACGAGAGGGCGGGCACCTCCTCCTACGTGGAGTTGCGCCGAATGCTGTTCAACCCTTACAGCCTGTACGCGGAGGGCGGGTTGAAGAGTTCCATCACATCCGCGGCCAGAAACGTGATCCAGATGACGTCCGCTCACGTCACCTCTCAGCTGACCAATCACCTCTTCGAGGACCCAATCGCGAACACGACCGTCCCATGCGGTCTGGATCTTGTCTCGTTGAATATACAGCGTGGAAGGGATCACGGGCTTCCAGGTTACACAGCGTGGAGGGAGTATTGCGGATTGGGAAGGGCGGAAAGTTTCTCCGATTTGGAGGGACACCTCGATCCACGAACTCTCGAGGATATCTCCTCGTTGTACGAGTCCGTTCACGATATCGATCTGTACACGGGGGCTCTGGCCGAGTTGCCTAACGCTGGTAGCATAGTTGGATCCACTTTCATGTGTCTGATCGCCGACCAGTTCGTCAGGTTGCAGAGGGGGGACAGGTTTTGGTACGAGCTGGGTGGACAACCTCACTCGTTCACCGAAGGTAAGGTTTATTTTTTTTTTAAATTTTAATCTTCCAACAAACTTTCCCTGTCGATATTTCTTCTATGGATACACGGAATACGTGAACGACAGATGAATAATGATTTTCTTCTTTTTGTTTCTAGATCAGCTTACCGAGTTGCGTAAGATGTCGCTGGCGAGGTTGATTTGCGACTGTTCGGATGAGATAGGACAGATTCAGGCGGAAGTGATGCGAGCGGTCAGCCCGGAGAATCCCGTCATCTCTTGCAAGGATATACCAGCGCCATCTTACGAGCCGTGGAAGGAAACCGAGCAAGCAGGATCGTTCGATTGGACAGGTTTGAGGAACGATATTAACAACACGATCGAAGAGATCGTGGCTTACATCAACAACTCCAGGACGAGTTTGGACGCCGATTGGGCAGCGTTTAAAAATTACGTGAGCGATACGTTTTCCGATCTTAGAAACCAATTGTCCGAATTGCATTCGTCGGACGATAGCCAAGAAACGCCCAAGGAAAGATCGGATTCCGAAACTGGAGCAATGAACGCGTATCGATATTGGATCGGTTTGAAAAGTAACGTGATGAGATCGTTGAATCGGTCTATGAGAACGATGACTGGAGGGCCAGCCGCGGTGACCAAGTGGTTGGCGTTTAAACGAAGCGTGGTCGATCAGTTTGCCAATTTGAAGGATGAGATCGCGGCTATGATAGTAGATGTTGCGCCCAAATTGGCGATGAAGAAGAGGTACGAGCAGGGACAGGTTTCGAATAGTTGGAGAATGAACGACACGATTCCGGCAATCTTCGATTGGAAGAATTTCAAGAGCAACATAATATCGTCCTTGAACAACACTATCGCCAATATAAGAGGCGACAAGGGCCGATTTTCTGCTTTCAGGGACGAAATCGATAGCCAGAGATCCGCTGAACCGAAGGAATCGAACGCGTCCTCCGATTGGTTGACGTACAAAGATCATATCGTCGAAACGTTGAACGAGATCGTGAATAAAATCAAGAACGAGATGCCTCCCCCCGGCGATCCAGCTTGGGCCACGTACAGAAACGAGATTACGAAAAGTTTCTCCAACTTGGAGGCCATCTCGAGGCCATCTCTGGAACGCGCCACGTTGTCCAACACGAGAGAAAACGTTCGTTCAACCGCACCAGTTATTACGAGCAACAACGTGTCCAATCTGACTGTCGATTGGTCAGAGTTCAGGGCCCGAATCAACGATTCTGTGACCAGGATGATCGAGGGTATTCTGAGCAAGAGACCTACGGAGATCGATCCGATCGCTTGGGCAACGTTTCGAGCCACGGTCAAAGACGAATTCGCTAGGCTGAGAAGCGAAATCGAGAGCATTAGAGACGAGTGGTTGGGAACTAAAACTGGAGGAGATGAATCCTCGTTGAATCTTCGACGAAACTTCAAATATAATTACTTCGATTCGCTCGTCGTTCCTTCGAGGGAGGAATGGGACGATTTTAAGAAAGGGATCAACGATACCGTGATGAATATCCTCATCATCGCCAATTCGTCCGACGAGTTCAGTTTCGACGAGCTTCACAGGATGTTCAATCGATCTTTCACCGATCTTAAGGATCAGCTGTCGCGTTTGAGAACGTTGATCGAGGAGACTTACAATAACGAGACGGCCGCCGATTGGCTCAGCTTCCAAGCGCAATTGAATTCCACGGTGAAGGATCTGGTCGATGGTTTGACGAACGACGGCCAGTTGTCCAGCGAAGATGCGATATGCGTGCTGCTCAAGACGGAAGACGAGTTGTCGAACGTTCGATTGCCGGCGAATTTGGCCGCGATTCCGTCGACGGATTGGATTCGATACGCGTCTCACGTGAACAAAACGATCTCGAACGCTCTGAGAAACGTCAACGACTCTAGGGATCATTATGAGACGATGATGCTCAGAGCGGAAGAGACTATAATGACATTCTCGTCATCCAACGATCCTGAGAAATTCAAAACGAATTGGTTAATCGTTCCTTGCCTTCTTGCCTCGTTCACAACGGTATCAA